GCCTCCTGGGTTCAGGCAATTCTCCTGCCTCAGCCTCCTGAGTCACTGGGATTACAGGCACGCGCCACCATGCCCAGCTAATTTTTTGTATTTTTAGTAGAGACGGGGTTTCACCATATTGACCAGGATGGTCTCGATCTCTTGACCTCGTGATCCACCCGCCTCGGCCTCCCAAAGTGCTGGGATTACAGGCTTGAGCCACCGCGCCCGGCAATCTTAGACTATTTTAAATGAGCCTGGTTAAAGACAGGTGAGTTAAACATTGTGCCTTTCAAAAATTAAGGTTTGCAGTTAGAAACATAAATATTTGATAAAACTTCTCAAAATAAACTATGAATGGGTTATCCATATCCTCTAGATTCTGGATACATATTAGAAAAAGCAAATGTTAAAGAGGTGATATTTTGGAAAGCTGCATCCCTAGTACTGGAAAACATCTTCAGGAGTACCCAGTGGTCAAACACTAGGAGGAAACTCATGATGCACTAATAATACTGAGAACAAAGCCAGGGGAAGTAATAAGCAGCTGTTTTACTGATGTATTCAATATATTAGAATTATGAGGCATGAGATGATATTTATGTGGTTTTTTAAATGGTTTCAAATATTCTTAGGGACTCAATTAGACATGACTGATAGTATGATCTGAAAAATAGTATACCACACATCATCATGATGTTGCCTTACTAATAGGAAATTTAGCTTTTAATAACTAACTGAATTTTATTCTCCTGGATTGAGAAGCAGCTGCCAATTTTGAGAACTACATGAGTTAATGCAATCATGTATGAATAAGTTAATGTCACAGAAACCAAAATGATAGTTTACAAAAGAAGAAAGTGCCCCATTTATTGGGTTGTAACATCAGGCTAATATGGCTTAGGGCTTGAAAGCAAGGATAAGGGTAGCACTGGGGCTCAGGTACAAATCCACTTATGCTCAAGGAGAGAAAAGGCATGAGAAGGGGTGAGACAACCCTGAATGGTGGTGGCACCTGGATGTGGAATTACCACAGTGGGCCAGAGACAGGCTGGTACATCACCCTCTGGCTCAGGTACTCTGGGAACCAACCCCCTCCTTCAGTATTAAATTGAGTATACAAATATCTGAAAGCATGCTTACCAAAAGTAGATTATTTATCCTCACATTACAAAACACAGAAGAAGGAGACATTTATTTTTAAAAGACAGCTAAAAAGTTACAGGGTTTCTCCTTATTTCATCTTGAAAACTAACCCAAGGAGAACACATTAAAAAAAAAATTCCTTGACTATTAATATTTTTAAAAGGCACTTAAAATATTCCTTTCCAATTCAACTTAAAATACATCTTTGTCAACTATATTTTGGATATAAAAGCACATTATTTTTGTGCAATTTTTTCTTATAACCCAGTGATATTTACCATCTATAGGGCCTAAAAGGTTTGAAGGACAGAGCTACAACTTTCTGCAGAACAATTTGAAAGTGCTTTTATCACAGAAACAACAACAACATTAATGACTTGCTCTCTCACTGACAACATTCTGTAGTCGTTTCAGTAAAACATCATCATTTTCTTGACAGGCGCGTTTGGCAGGGGATTCTGCATCACTATCGATGGCTATTGCTCGCTTCTTGGTTCTCTGCTCACCTTGCCTTATCATGTTGTTGATATCTTTCAAACTCTGTACAGAAACAGAAAGTGTGTGAATAAAAGAAGGAGAGGGGAAATGGCAGCAAACAACCAAGTTAACTGTTTTTTTCCTGCGCTCTATTCTCTATCCAAATCTTAACAATGGGATAATGATTCTTTTTTAAACTTAGAACAACCTAATAAGGGATGGCTAGAACTAATCTTTTCAGATAGTTTAAAAAATCAGATTTAAGGCCAGGTTTGGTGGCTTACAATACCAGCACTTTGAGAGGCCAAGATAGTTTGATCACTTGAGCCCAGGAGTTCGACACCACCCTGGGCAACAGGGCAAACCCAGTCTCTACAAAAAATACAAAAATTAGCCGGGTGTGGTGGCTTGTGCCTGTAGTTCCAGCTACTCAGGAGGTTAAGGTGGGAGCATTACCTGAGCCTGGGGAGGTTGAGGCTGCAGTGAGCAGTGATCATGCCACCGTACTTCAGCCTGGGCAACAGAATGAGACCCTGTCTCAAAAAAAAAAAAAAAAAAAAAAATTGAATTTACTGTAGAACAGTAGTTCTCAATGTGTAGTACCCAGACTAGAAGCAGCAGAAGCACCTAGAATTTTTTTGTTGTTGTTGCCTAGGCTGGAGCGCAGGGCACAATCTTGGCTCACTGCAACTTCTGCCTCCTGGATTCAAGCGATTCTCCTGCCTTAGCCTCCCTCGTTGGGACTACAGGTGCAGGCCACCATACCTGGTTATTTTTTTGTAGTTTTAGTAGAGATGGGGTTTTGCCATATTGGTCAGGCTGGTCTCGAATTCCTAACCTCAGGCGATCCACTTGCCTCGGGCTCCCAAAGTGCTGGGATTACAGGTGTGAGCCACCATGTCTGGCCAATTTTTTGTATTTTTAGCAAAGACGGGGTTTCGCCATGTTGCCCAGGCTGGTCTTGAACTGCACCTGCACTCAGGCAATCCTTCCCCCTTGGCCTCCCAAAGTGCTAGGATTACAAGTGTAAGCTGCCTTGCCTTGCTGCTTTTCAACCTTTAATGCGCTTACTAATCATTTAGAGATCTTGTTAACCTGCAGATTCAAAATTAGCAGGGCTGGTGTAGGGCCTGAGATTCTGGAATTCTCACAAGCTCCCAGGTGATCCTGATGTTGCTGGTCCATGAACCATACTCTGAGTAACAAGGTAGAAGAGAAGTGGTTATTGAAATCCATGTATATAACAATTATAGGGAGCTTGTCATAGAGTCCTAGACCTGCTAGCTAGTGATTTGTTATTCACAAGGTCTGTGGGACAGGTATCTGCATTCAACAAGCTCCCCAGGTGATTCTGGTTCATGATTTCAGAATTACTGTCTTAGAAGTCAAGTCAATCTTTGATTCCATGCAGCAATCTCTTCTGAACATCCTTATGGGAAATAAATTTGCAAAAGGAAGAAATGTAAGTCTGTGAATAAGTGAATCTTTTTGTTTTTTGAGACAGGGTTCCACTCTGCTACCCAGGTCGGAGTGCAGTGGTGCAATCACAGCTCACTGTTCTTAGCCTACAGGGCTCAAGTGACTTTCCCACCTCAGCCTCCTGAGTAGCTGGGACTATAGGTGCATGTCACCAAACTCAGATAATTGTTTTGCTTTTAAAAGTTTTTTTGTAGAAATGGTGGCCTGCTATATTGCCCTTCAACTCTTGGGCTCAATCCTCCCACCTTGGCTTCCCAAAGTGCTAGGATTATAGGCTTGAGCCACTGTACCCAGTTACATATATTATCCTAGTCAACTTTATCAAGTATATTAGGAACTCTACAGTTATCTGTGTAACTGAATAAGAAAGTAATGAGTTAAGAAGCAGCCACTGTATTTTGACTGAGTTACAATGTGCCCCACTACAATTTCTTCCAGTTTATACTGATTCTGACTTCTGGAGACATACTGAACATATCTGCTTGATAGTCCATGAAGTATGTGAAAACAGCAGTCATGTCCATCATATCTTCATTGTTGAACAGGGATAAGGATGGAGATAATCACAGAGTTGTCTATGCACATAAGAGGAGGCTTCTGTTTTCAGATGTTTTCCTGGTTACCATCCACTAAATGCACTTTCACTTCCAAGGCCTTTCTTTAAACTTGACATCATCCCCCATGTCTGACCATGTGCAGGTGTTGCCTTACTGGCCCCTTCTCAAGATCTTGCTTGAACAGAGAAACATGCTGGGGACTTTCAAAGTGAACTCCACAAATACTATGTCAATAGTAATGGATTAAACTAGCTCAAACTGAAGACACTGCTCTTGATGAGAGGAGACATGCCATAGTTAGCAGTTCATATTTTGTTAGCACAGTAGTAACTTGCCCCCCCCCCAAAAAAAAAAGAGGTAAGATTAACAATTGTTGACCGTTAACCTGAAATCCAACTTTTAACCTATGTATGTATGTAAATCGCTTTGGAGTAAAGCCTGTATCACCTTACCTTAGAAGGGCTACCATTGAACTTGTACAGCAGAGCACTTCTTGGTGTAAGGCCTGACCCATTCTTGTGAGGGGAAACATAAATGGAGTGCTGTTGGGAAATGCGGCGCGGTGAGCCTGGCTGCTGTTTAATATGAGGAAAAGGAGAGAGTGGTGGAACATCCATCTAAAATAATCCAAAAGTCAGATTTTTAGACAAAAGTGTTTCTTTGTTTTTGAATCTCGTATTTTTATTCTTATGGTAACTCCTAGTTAGGAATCAGTTATACTGTAAAAGCTTACTTATGGCTGAGAAAAGCAAAAAAAATCCATTACTTCTTGTTTTTTTTTTTTTAACAACAACAGATAAACCAGAATTTATTTTCCTGAATCTTCCAGGATATCCTATAACTACTATTAAGAATTCTGGCTGGGTGCGGTGGCTCATGCTTGTAATCCTAGCACCTTGTGAGGCTGAGGCAGGTGGATCACAAGGTCAGGAGTTCAAGGCCAGCCTGACCAACATCGTGAAACCCCATCTCTACTAATAATATGAAAATTAGCCAAGTGTGGTGGAACGCACACGTAATCCCAGCTAATCAGCAGGCTGAGGCAGGAGAATTGCTTGAACCCGGGAGGTGGAGGCTGCAGTGAGCTGAGATCATGCTACTGCACTCTAGGCTGGGTGACTGAGCAAGACTCCATTTCAAAAAAAAAAAAAAAGAATTCTGGCCAGGCATGGTGGCTCACAGAGACCAGCCTGGCCAACAGGGTGAAATGTTGTGCTATCTCTACTAAAAATGCAAAAATTAGCTGGGCATGGTGGCACATGCCTGTAATCTGAGCTACTTGGGAGGCTGAGGCACTAGAATTACTTGAACCCAGGAGGGAGAGGTGTGGCACTGAGCCCAGGTTGTGCCACTGCACTCCAGCCTAGGTGACAGAATGACACTCTGACTCAAAAAAAAAAAAAAGAAAAAGAAAAAAAAAGAATTCTGGAGCGGGGCGCAGTGGCTCACTCCTATAATCCTAGCACTTTGGGAGGCCAAGGTGCTCAGATCACTTGAGGACAGGAGTTGGACAACAGCCTGGACAGCATGGCAAAACACCACTACAGCCTCCTGAGTAGCTCCTAAAAATATAAAAGTTAGCCAGGCATGGTGGTGTGTGCCTGTAGTCCCAGCTACTTGGGAGGCTGAGCACAAGAATTGTTTGAACCCAGGGGATGGAGGTTGCAGTGAGTTGAGACTGTGTCACTGCACTCCTCCCTGGATGACAGAGTGAGACTCTGTCTCGAAAGAAAAAAAAAAAATCCTGGACAAGATGCCAGGAGGTAAGCCACAAGCATCAGAATGTCATATTCATGCTTAGAAAGTAGAGACAAAGAGTAATCTTCTAACATTTGCTGTAACAGTCTCTTTCCACAAACACACCTCCCACAACCAAAGCAGTAGCAGAGATAATAAAGAGAGGCAGAGAATTCTATCAGCCAGCAGGATGATTCCAACATGGAAAAAATCTGTTAATGAAATGGGAAAGACTTCATATGGAAATAGAAAAGATGTAAAATAAGTTGGCGAGCAAGGATTTAATTTTTCTTTAATATCCTGTATAACTGAAATAAATTAAGATGGTAGAGATATTCAGAGTATCGCACATGACAGACGGGAGGTGAAACTGATGGAGCAGGATGAACAGTTTTGACCTCTGAGGATAGTAACAGACCATATTCCTTGAAAAGAGGAAGAACAGAAATGTAGAGATGCACACAGATACATATACACAGCTATTGGCTGGCTGGATGCAGCTTCTGCTACAGCCCTCTTTCTTTTTTTTTTTGAGACAGGGTCTCACTCTGTTGCAGTGCAGTTGTGTGATTATGGCTCACTGTAGCCTTGACCTCCTGGGCCCAAGCGATCCTCCTACCTTAGCTTCCTGAGTAGTTGTGTAATATTCATTAAAACAATTAATTTGGTAATTTTGGTAATCCAGGCCTACCTACTTTCTTTTATCTTTTTTTTTTTTTTTTTTGAGATGAAGTCTTGTTCTTGTTGCCCAGGCTGGAGTGCAATGGCACAATCTTGACTCACTGCAACCTCTGTCTCCCAGGCTCAAGTGATTCTCCTGTCTCAACCTCTCAAGTAGCTCGGATTATAGGTGCCCACCACCATGCCCAGCTAACTTTTGTACTTTTTAGTAGAGACGGGTTTTACCGTGTTGGCCAGGCTGGTCTCGAACTCCTGACCTCAGGTGATCCCCTCACCTTGGCCTCCCAAAGTGCTGGGATTACAGGTGTAAGCCACAGCGTCCAGCCTTTTTTTTTTTTTTTTTTTTTTGAGACAGAGTTTCACTCTTGTTGCCCAGGCTGAAGTGCAGTGGAGTGATCTTGGCTCACTGCAGTCTCCACCTCCTGGGTTCAAGTGGTTCTCCTGCCTTAGCTTCCCGGGTAGCTGGGATTCCAGGCACCCACCACCATGTCCAGCTAATTTTTGTAGTTTTATAGATATAGTTTCACCATGTTGGCCAGGCTGGTCTTGAACTCCTGACCTCAGGTTATCTGCCCGCCTTAGCCTCCCAAAGTGCTGGGATTACAGGCATGAGCCACCACCGTGCCCAGCCCCTTTTGTCTTTATCTTGAGAAAAACATTAATCGCACAATATAACAAGAGAAACAGAAAACAACAGGAAAAAATTACCAAATTAACTGTTAATATTCATGTTCCCATCAAGTTCTTACCCATATGTATACAGAATTTCTAGTAACATAATCACAGTACAGCTAAAATTCCCGCCAGGTGTGGCGGTTCATGCCTATAATCCCATTACTTTGGGAGGCTGAGGTGGGTAAATCACTTGAGTCCAGGAGTTTGAGACCAGACTGGCCAACATGGTGAAACCCAATATCTACTAAAAATACAAAAAAATTAGCTGGATACGGTAGCACGCGCCTGTAGTACCAGCTACTCGGGAAGCTGAGGTGGGAGTATCACTTGAGCCCTGGAAGCAAAGGTTGCAGTGGGCTGAGATTGTGCCACTGCACTCCAGCCTGGGCAACAGAGTGAGACCTGTCTCAAAAAAAGAGAAAAAAAAAATCCCATGATTTTCTCTGGTATCTGTTGTACCATAGCCTTAATCACTGATGAAGTTACTAGTCATGCTCTGATTAATTGCTAGTAATTTTCTCCTATATATGCATTAGTGGGGCTTTAAACTTTGACATATTTATCTAGCAAAATAAACTCAGAGTAATCCAACTATGACAGCAAATAATAATAAAATAGTAAAACATAAAACATACCACATGGTCCTGATTCGACAAGTCATATTTCAGTGCAAATGACTTCACTCTTCCTACATATATTGTATTGTAAAATTTTATAAGATCACCTCTTTCCTCTTTCACTGGTCCATTGGAACAGTCAGGTGTTTTTGCAGCATCTTCCAAGTCTGTTAAAAAGAATGCAAAGTTGTGACACAAGCACACTTTATTTTTTTATTTTTGAGACAGGGTCTCACTTTGTCACCCAGGCTGGAGTGCAGTGGTACAATCTTGCCTCACTGCAGCCCTGATCTCCTGGGTTTAAGTGGTCCTCCCATCTCACCCTCCTGAGTAGCTGGGACTAGAAGCATGCACCACCATACCTGGCTATTTTTTAATTTTTATTTTTAGTAGAGATGGGGTTTTGCCATGTTTTCCAGGATAGTTTCCAACTCCTGGGCTCAAGTGATCCCCTGCCTCAGCCTCTCAAAGTGCTGAGATTACAGGCATAAGCCACAGTGCCCAGCCACAAAGTATATTTTAATATACAAGTCGGTGATTTAAATTACCTTTCTATAATATTAAGAAAATCCCACAAATCTTTATGTAGATAAATCAGTATTTTTAGAGAAGGTTCAGAAATCCAACTGTATTACTTATAAGTCAAATTGGAATCTAGAGAAATGCAAACATATGAACTGAAGGTGGTGCTCTTTTCTCTAGATGCCACTGCAGAATGTTTTCACAACAACAGCTTTTGAGCTTACTGTCACTGGTGGCTCTTAGAGGGACAACAGCTTTGGGCTGGTGTTTAGCTAAGTTCTACAGTATGGGAGGCAGTGGCAAACCCCAGCTTCAGATAACAAAAGGGACTGCAGATTATTTCTTCTTGGCTCTTTGAGAAAGGTGGAAAGATTCTAAAAGGTAAAGCATATCCTGAGAGGTTAAGGAAAAAGCAAAATGAATTAGGTTTATTTCTCTGCAAAAACAGGTGTTCTAAGAGCCTTATTATACCACGTACAACAGGAACCCTGATCAGGAACCAATGTTCAGATTTTAGTGAGCACCCTCAACTGTAAAATGATAGCTTGCCCCAACAGATTCCTGTTTATTGGTACAACTCTGGGACAGCTTGTGAAACCAGGCAGAACTTTGTCCTACTATTTTTTTGGGAGGAAGAGTATTACAGAGTGTTACAAACTATCATCTACCTGCATATACAAGAACCATGTGTTTAGAAGAGCTAAGAAAACCACTGCCAATTAAAAATAATTTAGCATATATACGAAAAAAGCTCTCATTCTCAATATACTGCAAAATTTGAGAACCTGGGTAGAAGCATGCCTTCACTTTAGGAAAACCAGGAAATTCAAACTTGGTTCAAAGGCCAAACAGCCCCAGGGGATCTCAGTCCTAATTTGGATATCTTTTTTACTTCTGATATTTTTAATTATTTATTTATTTATATATTTTTTGAGATGAAGTCTTGCAATGTTGCCTGGATGGGAGTACAGTGGTGCCATCTTGGCTCACTGCAACCTCTGCCTCCTGGGTTCAAGTGATTCTCCTGCCTCAACCTCCCGAGTAGCCGGGATTATAGGCATATGCCACCACACCTGGCTAATTTTTTATATTTTTAGTAGAGAC